CTATGTAGCATCTGGAGTTTCCAACGATTCATTCAATGCATTTATCTTGAAGTCAATCTTCTGTATATTTAGAATGACAGAAAATGTGCAAGAAAATTTAGGTTCCATTAGTAGGTTATGCATACCTCTATTATAGTACTTATCACACCATGCTATAATTTTTTTTGTTTAGATTTCTGTCTCTGCCACTTGACTGTGAGTTCCTCCAGGGCCTGAGCTGTATCTTCATGTTAGTGTTCAAGTTTCTCCCAAGAAATCAGCAGCTGAACACTTTGAACATAGTAAGTTTTTCATGAGTGAACTGGCTTTATAGTAAGGCTCAGTAGACAGGTATGCCTGATATATACATATTTGTCTACTCAACATTTATTAAGTTTTTACTATGTGTCCAGCACTATGCTAAGCTCTAAGAATCCAAAAAACACCATCTCTGAACCCAGGGAGATAACACTTCATAAAAGAGATTCATTTCTAATTGCTATGGACTAAATGTTTTGTTTCTCCAAAATATATATGTTGAAGTCTTAACCCTTAAAGTGATAATATTAGGAGGTGGGATCCTAAGGAGGTGATTGAACCACAAGGGTGGAGCCCTAATGATTGGAATTATTGCCTTAGGGGGGAATCCCTCATCCCTTCCCACAGATGAAGACATAGCAAGAAATGACCGTCAATGAACCAGGAAGCTCTCATCAGACACTGAGTCTGTTGGCACGTTGATCTTGGACTTCCCAGACTCCAGAACCGTAAGAAATAACTTTTTGTCATTTATAAGCTACCCAGTGTGGTATTTTTGTCATAGCACCCTGAATGGACTAAGACAGTAATAATCCTCATGCAATTTGCAGAGATGCACAGGGTATTAAGGAAGGCTAGAGGGGGATATTTAATAGGGCTTGGTTGAGGAGATGTTCAGGGAAGAGCTCCTAGAGAACTGCTGAGCTGCATTTTGGAAGATGATTATGAGACATCCAGTCAAAGACATGTTGAAGGAGGCCATCAGGGAGAGGAGGTGGTAGGACCAAAGTACTGGCACGTGACCTAGCCAAGTGTGGTTGGAGGAAATAAAATATGAAACCACAGATGAGGCTGGAGAGAGTACCAAAGCCAGATGGGACAGTTTATAAAATGTTATGAAACTTGGATGCTCTCCTGTAGGTGATATTGGTACAGTAAAAGGATTTAAGCCAGGGAGGAATATGTTAAGATTGGTTTTTTGGGTAGACTCATTTCCTGACCTAGGGAAGAATGGAGTTGGGGATAAGACTAGAATCCGGAAAACAAGTTAGAAACAGTACCAACTGGGAAGAGATTGGGAAGATTTGAACTAGGGCAGTTGTAGACAGAATGGAAAGAGGAGGGCTGACTTGAGTTTGACTTGGGGGATGAAGTTGGCAGGACTTGGGCAGTGAGGGAGACAGAAGAGACAAAGAAGATCCCCAGGTTGGACAATGGGGCCATCCCTGCCAAGACAGAGGATAGGGACAAAAGGTCAGGTTTGGGACAAACTAGTGAGTTCAGTTTAGACATCTTGAGTGTGAGGTGCATCTGACTCATTCAGGGAAATACGCAACAAGTAGTCAAAGACATGTTTGAAGTTTTGTGGGGGTGGGGGGAGGGCTGGGAATACAGATATAAAATTTGTGGTTATAGACTGGAAAGCCGTGGTAGAAACCATGATAGTGGGCAGCATCACTTGGGTGAGTATGTAGGGAGATGGACAGAGGACTGGAGCAGCTCCCTGGGAAACATGAACACATAAGGAACTGGCAGAGAAAGAGGAGCTCACAAAAAAAGATTGGGAAGGACAGTCGGAGCTTGCTGGGACAGCTCTGCTCACAGGTGTCTTCCTAGGGCCAGCTTCCCTGACCTCAGACCACGCCCGGTCTCACACTGTTATCCTCCACAGAAGCTACCATAATTATAAGTCAACACCTGATTGTATTATTATTTAATGTCCATCTCTCTTACTAGAATAAAAACTCCATCAGGGCAGGGATGGGAATCTCTCTCTTATTCCCCAGGGAATCTGCAGAGCCTAGTAAGTAGCTGGCAATTAGCAGTTGCTCAATCAATAAGTATTTGTGAAATTAAAGATTGGTGTTCTAAACTTCCAGAAATTAGAGAGGTTTTTTTTTTAAAGATTTTATTTATTTATTTGAGAGAGAGAGAATGAGAGATAGAGAGCACGAGAGGGAAGAGGGTCAGAGGGAGAAGCAGACTCCCTGCCGAGCAGGGAGCCCGATGCAGGACTCGATCCCGGGGCTCCAGGATCATGACCTGAGCCGAAGGCAGTCGTTTAACCAACTGAGCCACCCAGGCGCCCGAAATTAGAGAGTTTTAAAGACAGTTACTTTTAATAGTCAAGTTATCTGTTCCATTCAAAATGTGAAATATGTTTATTTTATATTTTTAGTATTTCCCATGAAAAAAGTGTGTATTTCTGTCAAGTTTTTTATTAAATTAGGGAACAATTGTCTTCTCCTCCTGGATATGACACAAGGCCTCCAGATACTTGGAGAGTGGAGAAAGGGTGCCTAACAGCAGATTTATTACGTATTAGTTAATAATATCATGGACCTAAGTGGTGGCACTGTCTTTATTCCCCAAAGGTTCACCTGGTCTCAGAGTAGGAAACAGATGGACAAAGTGCTTCATGGACATTTATCTGGTTACTCAACCACACATACAAATTATGATGTGAACATGGCCACAAGGTAGCGTTTCCTTCAGATAACATTTTTGTGGAAATTTTTATAAGAAAATATATTGAATTAAAAAATTACATATTTTCTATATACAAATCCTAATAGATAGATTAATATTATCATTGATTAAAATGCTAACAATTGGATTCCAATATCAAACATTGAACAAGGTACAAATAAATTTAAATAACTGTATCTCTCTCTCTATTTTTTTGAAGGGGGGAGGGGCCGAGGGAAAGGGAGAGAAAGAATTTTAAGCAGGCTTCACACCCAGCAAAGAGCCTGATGTGGGGCTTGATCTCATGTGCCTGAGATCATGACCTGAACCAAAATCAAGAGTCAGACACTTCACCTACTGAGCCACCTAGGTACCTGCCCCAACTATATCAATATTTATGAAAGGCTTCATCTATGGGCATTGAGATTAATGCAGGAAAAAAAAAAATCCAAGTGTTAAAAGGCCACGTTCCAGAGATTTGGGTCTTTGTCTTCTTCTCTTTTCTCACTTTTGCTTCAAATCCTTACCCGTCTGCAGACTTAGGCTTGAGATTTTTGTGTAAAGGTTATAAACCCCTAAATCTATAATGGCGTGTACCATGAAAACACTCCAGGAGACATAGCACAATAAGTTATATGTGCACCAAGTTTCAAAACAGATCTGATCCTTTCCTGAGGGCATTTTCCCATGGGCGAGAGAGAGGAAAAAAGAGGTTTCAGCATGGGGTGGAGAAACATCGCAAAGGCAGTCCGAGGGTGTGCAGTGCAAACATTGCTGCTTTTGTTGTCAGGAACACTGGGTAGAGTGCAGACTGCACCTGTCTCTTGCTACTTTTTGAGGTTCCTTTTAGCAGCCCCATCTGAAATCGAGGTTCATCATAGTGAGGTTCAGTATAGTGCTTCCTTCAAATTGGTGTTTAGAGTATTAAATGAGCTAGTATGTATAAAGCACTTGGAGCAAGGCCTGTCACATAATAAACACTGTCAAATATGAGCTGCTCTATTTGCACTTTTAACCTAGGCCATGAAATTGTGCACAGAGTTTTATGTCACCTTTGCCAGATCATCCTTTCCCTTGGGAACACTTTCAATGAAGACCCTCTACTGCTGGCTCAGCTTTGTTCTCCCCACCCCTGGCCACCATATACCCTTGTTCTTAATGACTCTTAGGAGGTGAGTTTGGTTTTGTTTTGCCCTCCATGTGTGGCCTCTAGTTCTTTCTCCCAGTACTTGTTAGCCCTGATTAAATCATTGAACAGCACCAGCTCCAGACTTACATAAGAGCATTGGGAGCCTTTCCCTCAGGGATTTGCTCAGAACCCTCTGAGTCAGTTGCCCAGGGAAGCAAGCTCGTGATGTCACAAGGTATCACACTTCTAGTGCTCTCTCAGGTACCTTCTGCTGAGCTTGAGCAGGGCCTGGTTCTATAAACTCTGCCCAGCCTAAGCACATTCTCGTCCTCTCTAAGGCAATGCAGAGACCCCCACTCTCTCCCAGCAATGTCTAAACTCAGGTATGTAGGGCATGACTACACACCTCTTCCTATGCTTCTTTGGCCACAGATCTCTTGCTATGCATCTTTCTTCTTAGGGCACAGAAACACCCTTTGTAAATGATCTGGGGCAACCCTGGGTAACCTTTGGTTCTCTAAGGTATAGATACAAAACTAAAAAAAAAAAAAAAAAAAAGCCTTGGGGCTGCTCCCTGGAGGAGCAGTTTGTTACAGATTTTATAGGGCCCTAGAGACCTCAGGAGCAAGATTATAATATTCTTTCCCTTTCTACTGACCTCCCTCTGTGCCATAAACATGCCCATAATCTCTACCGTCTAGTCTATCAACCTGATCGTAATCTCTCAAGAAGTATTATTCCAACTTCCTTGTTCCGCCCAGATAAAAAGGAAAGAAGAGAATATGGCACTGAGAGTACTGATTAGAGTTCATTGGTGTTTCACAGTAAGTTCCTTTAACTCCCACTCCAGCCAAACAGTGCAAAGTGCAGATCTTGCCTTCCCCTCTGCTCCTCTTCAAAGCCTAAGCACTGAAACTTATGCAAGTCTGGGGAATACTTATTATTTAAATGAAAGCATCTGAAAACCAGCAATAATCCTGTCTCCTAAGTTTATCGGGGAGGGAGACTATGAGAGAAGCAAAATTCAGTCTTGCTGGAACTCCCAATCCCAGAGGGGTGTGTTTTACAGCTCTTGGGCATGCCTTATGACTCCGGCTGTGACCCACCGAAGGACGCCAGAGGAAAGCTACCCAAGTCATTCACGACTCCCTGGTCAGAGCTAGCCATGAAGAGGACTTGTACCTGCATATACCACTTCCTTGTTTTCAGCTGGTATATTTTTCTCAATTATTACATCTCACAAAAAGGAGGAAGAGACCAGCAGAAATCCAAAATCTTTCACAATGGCGGACAGTGGAAGTATTTGACATTCCTAAATCTGGTAAGTCCGTATGACCATACCAGGAAGCAAGCTATTTGTCTATAGTACCAGTGTTTTTACACATATGACCTTTGAGTTTTATTAGATACAAAATTCCATTCTTTGTCTTCCTTCTTCATTGTCTGTGAGTTTTGGCTTTCTTTTTGACTTGACAGTTTGCTCTGAGAAACCCAGTTCAGAAGTTATCGGTTCCTATCTTTTGTGCTAATTGGTAAACACTCTTTTGAAAAGAATCGTATCTTGGAGTTCTTCTCAGATGAGCTCAAATGGAAAGACTAAATTAATGGTTTCACCGTAGGACTGACTACAAACACAAGCGGGATTTTGAACTTTGCTTGGGGAAATCTGTGAGGGAAGACAGAGTGGCGTATGTTGCGTGGGAAGTACAATTTCCAATGGGGGAATGATGCCATTTTCCAGCACAGACTAACAGATTTATCTAAGAAAAGCAAACACATTTTGCCATGTTCAGATCCCACTTCAATTTTTTATAGGCTCAGGCTCCATCTTAAAGGATGAATCACTCAACCAAATGGCAAATACACATTTTCAACAATTTACCAACCAATCCTATGACTCAATTCCTTCTTGTCTCTGTAGCCCAGCTGACCACATTCTGATGAATGAAGTGTGAATGAATGGGAGAAAAATAGGTTTTTAAAAATTTTGGGGGGAGTATGTAAAAATATTAAAGTTAAAAGCTAAAAATAGTACAGCCTTTGGGGATGCTAATTAATGTTTGAGATTTCTTAACTAAAATGTAGGGTGCCATAAAAGCCTCTGATTTCAGAAACTGGGCAAAATATTCCAATCCTTGGGAATCACAATCCTAAGCAGAGGTTATGCATGGTCGGGAAAAGTGACACTCTACAGTGCTAAGGAGAGGAAATTCAGGTTCAAATCCAAGGGGCCTGGAGGTTCTGCTTCCTCCTCTCTGGCCACTTGCTGGCTTTTGATTTTGGCTTGAAAGATTCGAGCCCTGGCGGCTCTTGTGTACTTGAAATAATCAAGGTGACTCCTTCTTTCAATCATAGAATTTTATAAAACAAACACACAAATCAAAAACCACAAAGAAATGCTTTTTTGGAGCTAGGATAATACGGTGAAAGCCTCAGCTTTGAGTATCTATTGGCTTTATATTAAGAATAGTCAACTAAGGGCACCTGGGTGGCTCAGTCGTTAAGCGTCTGCCTTCAGCTCAGGTCATGGTCCCAGTGTCCTGGGATCGAGACCCACATCAGGCTCCCTGCTCAGCGGGAAGCTTGTTTCTCCCTTTTCCACTCCCCCTGCTTGTGTTCCCTCTTTCGCTATCTCTCTGTCAAATAAGTAAATAAAATCTTTTTAAAAAATAGTCAACTAAAAGACAGGGGGGTAGCCAGGATTGATGGTGGAATCTAAACCAAATTCCAGTATGGATGTCCCACCTCACAGTAAGCATGGCTGAGAACAGACTTCCCACCCACTACCACGAACCAGCTCCCTGACTTCTTCATTCTCAGTTCCATGCCCCAGAGCCCTCATATTTCCAAGAAAGGAAGAAAACACTTATCTTGTCAAAGACACTATTCTTTCCTAGTAATAATCCCCTTTTCACTTCCCTGATGAATCAGCCACCAAATCCTATGTTTTTCCTTTCCTTAGGTTCATTCCTTTCTCCCCCAATCTTACTATCCCTCTAATGACAGGCTCTTAGTAATTTGTACCGGGGTGACGAGATTATCTCTTCATTTCCCTCTTATTAGCAATCCATCTATCAACCTCTCAGATTCCAGATTCATCTTCCCAAAGCACTGGTTTTGGTTTGGTTTTGTTATAAACATCATGAACCTGCTTGCTCAGGGTGGTTCTGCTACTCAAGAAATCACAGTGGCTCCCTCCTACTTTATGGAACCAACTGCAAACTCCTGACTTAAGAGCTCACCTGCCTACTCAGCCTTCAGGTTCCCCCGTCCCCAGAAAAGCTGGTCTCTTCTCCAGGAAGACCTGTGTCTTCTCCAGCGTTGGTCCCTAGGCTTCTTGCCATCACCACTCTGCCTGTATTCACACCATCTTTGGATCAAAGACCTACCTGTCTCTCCACCACTTTGCCTCTTTCATAGACCACCCAAAATCCCATGTTTTCCTTAGAACCTCTGCTGACCAACTCCAACCCACATTTGTTTTTCCTTTCCCTGAGTTTTTATGGCATCTCTCAGTCTCTGCTTATTTATGTATAGTATTATATTCTTATTTCCACCCACATGTGAGTCTTTAACATTCTAATCAAACTGTAAATGGCTCTAAAACAGGAGTTTTGTCTCCTAACATTCCACATCGTATTTGCTACAGTGGCTGGCGCAGAGTGCCCCTAGAAGAAAAATTAAGCGACTTGGTATGTTGACTGCACTTGACCTTCAGCGTTTTCTGCCTTCCTGAGCAGCATTATCTCTTCTGACATCTTTCGTCTTGTGAAATGAGCAGAGAGGGCCTTGCTTACCTGTGGCTGTTTCCCTTCTGGGCTCTGTTAGGTGTCATCTTGAAAGTATGACTTAATGCAAAGTTTTCTAATTGGTGAAGATGGGTTGACCGTGTTTCAGAGGATCAATTTAAAGATAGATTCCAAATATGTTACTCAAGGTGAGATCCTGGGCCTTAACATTTCGTGCTCTTGAGGCCTCATGGGCTGATTTAATAGTTGTGTTTCCTAATGACTAATTGGTCTTAACTAATGATTAATTAATGATTAGTGAATAGTTGTGTTTATAAAAGCACAGAAGTCTCATAACTGGCTATAATACTCTTAAATTTATTTTATGTAAACTTGTTGAAGTCAGTACCCTTTCCTGCTCTCCAGGAAATTTACCCCCCTCCCTTTAAATAGCTTTAATTTTTACTTGGCTGAATATCAGTTATGCCTCATTTCAAGAGAACAATCCGCCTTAGTGCAGGTCAACGTTCTGAGCAGCTCCGTTTTCTTCCTGAAGCATCCTATGGCCTTCAAAGAGAAGACACACAGGGTTGGTGGAAGGGGTGGCATGGGAGGGGTGCCACTGAGAGTTGGTCACAGTGACCAGCTCCTGCCCAGTGCCCAAGGAGAGTAAAGAAAAGAGAGGGGAGAGCCGAGTTTTTGCCTAATGAGGGAGTATACCCACCCCAGGGAAGAGGCAGCCAATTCTCTGTTGGGAGAGAGAGGCTATGAGCTGCATGGTTATAAGCATGAGCTCTACCGTCATGAGTTTCTGGGATGGCACCTCAGCTCTACCACCTGCAGGGTCTCTGATCCTGGGCTAGGTATTTCTTTGTGTTTTGCGTTTCCAAATCTGCCGAATAGAAATAAAAGGACTGGCTCATCACAGAATGACCATGAGGGATGCATGACTCAACATGCAGGAAGCTCTCAGAATGCTGTACACACTGGATGATGAGGAGCAGAGATAGGAGGGTGGTGATGAGCTTCTAGTTTCTCATCTTTGAGTAGAGGTCATGCAGAAGGCAAGGGGATTTAGTGGGACATGGGTCACCTCACAGCACCACGGTTGGTGGGTTATAGATCCAGGCAAGAGTTGCCCACCTGCCCCACTGCTCGGGTTCTCTCTCTGCAGGGTGCACTCTCCAGCTTCCCAGCCAGAGGATGGCCACTGTGGAGCCACCTTGAGCTGTACAGGTGCAGACTTCAGGCACCGGGGCCATCCTGGGAGTAGAGTTGGCAGGCTCCAGCAGAGAGCAGTGAGTCATGCTGAACGGGGATGCCCCTGAAGCTGGGTGTGGAGACATGGCAGTGCTGTGCACATCCTCAGGGTGCTCATGTCAGCTCAGGCTTCCAGTGCCTGGGACTTCCACAAATGTTGGGTCCCCTCCTCTCTATCCACTCCATTTCCATCCAGGGACTGCCCCTGACCTCAGGGAACTTATGCTGGGAGGTGGGGATGGAGGGGAATTTTAACTACAATTTAACTTGTTGGCTTTATACAGTGTGCTGGGTTTTCCTCTTTTTAAAAATAAAATTCCTCCTGAAACATTGTGCCACATAACTGGGATCTCCAGGGGAGATTCTGGGTGGCCCCCTCCCCCCTTTAACCGACAGAGACACAACCTTTCCCACCATTTATCATGAAGTTGCCCAAGCCTCGCGCAGCTCTGGCCTCATTCCCCTCAAGCTGTCACCCTGACAACAGCAACTTCATCCATAGGTCCTCAGAGATCACAAAGCAGGGCTGGGGGTAGAGAAATTCTTGACGACCTTCCATTGGTCCAAACTCCAAAGCGGCTCACAAACAATGAAAAGACAGAGATCCATTTATGTTACAGGACCCACTTGGGGCCAACCTTTAATTTCCATCATCAGGCGAATACATTCATTTGTGGAACTCTTAAACTCAACTCTTAAGCTCGGGAATACACTTAACTGTCTATTCCCCAAAATGCTTAAGGCCACTGTTTTCAGCTCTCAGCTGAAAGGATGACAACTGACGGCAGGAAAATGTCACCACCAGCACCCAAAATAAAATAGCTGTAACTTAATTGGGCAACCGTGACATTCTGGTAGGTTCTTTACACACTGTAGAGAGGTCAGTGATTGAAGACCCAGCTTCTGGAGCCAGGTTGCCTGGCGGTGAATGCTAGCTCTGCTGTTCACTTGCTGTGTGATCTTGAGTGAGTTACCTAACATCCCTGAGCCTCAGTATCCTCATATGAAGTGGATTCCTTGGTGTGCCCCCCAGATCCCCCCATGTCCCCAGCATCAAAGTATTCATTCCCCAGCATCTGGGAGGAGTGTTGGCTGCTGATGACTCACAGCTGAGGTCCTGTCCCAGAAATGCCCTTAAGCAGAAGGGAGCTGCCTAGACAAGGCTCAGGGCCCTCCCTGGGGTTGCTGCATCCAATGACTGGTTGATTTGGGGTAGAAAGGCCAGGCTCCAGGACGACTCTGCAGCACCAGCTCAGCTCCACACCTCCTTTGGGGCCCAGCAGATTCCATGCAAGGGCATTGCCTTTCATCTTTTCCTGCTGCTCTTTCCTGT